TTTGTGACACAAACTGCTTTTGCCAGGCAGACTTCCAGAAGACGAGCGAGGGCCTGATGAGGTGCGGTTCGGTGGCCGTTCAGTTCTGTTTCTCCGTCACCCTGTCATCGTTTCAGGGCAAATGGCTTTGAAAAAAGTGGACCTGCCCACCCGTTTGCCGCACTCTGGGACGCCAGCTGAGAACATGCTGGGAGCATGTTTTGGTGTTGCAGCTTGTCATCTAGAGGTGCTCAGGAGCATCATGATTGCATGTGTGTTGTGATATATTGTTTCCATGAGGATGGTCCATCCACGAATTGGGCCAGGCTAACAAAGGGGTCGTCGGCTAAGCAGCACCGACTTTCGTGACTGCCTCTTTCAGTCTGCATTTGACGCCAGCACTTGAAAGTCAAGGAACACCTTGTCAAGTTTCCGGACAGTGAGTGTACCTGGCATCTAGGACTGCGTGTCCTTTTGGTAAGGCTTGTACAGTACCCCAAACGTGGTGCATAGATTTATGAGAGGGCGCATCAAGTTGCCTTCAACCAGGGTTGCATGCAACAGCGTGGAAGATGCAGCACTGCATCTCCATGTTCCTGCAGTTTCTTCCGAAGGAAGGCCAAGCATCGCTTGGCAGGAGTACTGCCTGAGGCAGTAACTTCGCCTTTTGACTCTTGATAGCGTTGCATCGAAGATGCGCTTATACAGCTTGTCGACTAGCCTGTGGTACTCAACCACTTGGAATCCGTTGCAAAACAGGCTGTACAGGTCCACCACAGTCGGAGAGCGCGCAGCAATACATTCCGTCTTTCCAAGGTGTGGCGGCCAGACTTTCCGGTCGCGCTCCATTTTGTCGCACCCTGCGTGGTAACCTTACAGTGTGGTCAGTGAGCTTGTCATGGTTTTGAAGCGTTTGAAGCGCTTGAGCTGTTCTCAAAGGTTTGGCGGGGCAGAATGCCAAGCATCTGAGACTATGCAGACCAAAAGGCGTGGCATCATGAGTCTTCATTGAGCTTCGCAGATGACCCTCACAGCTAACACGAGGCTTCGATGCTCTGTACAAGAGAGCAGCTTCATGAATGTTTAGGTGTCCTCGAGAGTGTGGGCCACATCTTTACTGGTGTGTGTGGAGTGACTGGGCATCGTGGTCAGCATGCACGCAGGCACCAGGGTGCTTTGTGGATCTTTGTGGGATACTCAATGCTCTTGCGACCTCAGTTCCTACTCTCCGTTGAGGACTGCGGTGTTGGAATCCACTTCCGGAAGCGGCTGCTGACCATGACGGACCGCCGCAATCGCTTTGCAAGTCGAGTGTGGAACCGAGCTTCAAGTTGTCAGAGGATCAGCAGCCTGAGAATCCCCTTGCAGTGGCATCTTCGGAGAAGGCATGGGCCGATCTTCAGAGTCAGTAGGTTGCGGTGCTGGGTACTTTTGCCCAACATTTTCTTGTGCCAGTGTTGCTTAAGGCCGCTTTGCACCTGGCATGTTGGACTCCGCTTGTTGATATCGCGTGCTCGTTTGATCAGAAGACCACGGCAATCTTCACCATGGAGCCCTCGTCCGAACTTCTCCGGGCTTCATCCCGATCGCAGATCTCGCCTGGCCAAGAGCGCGGTTTTAGAACTCGGGCCTGGCCGCCCTTAGTCTCAGCGCCACAGAACATCACAGAACACTGCATCTCGCCGTCTCGCCGTTTCGCCGTTTCGGGAGCCCTCTTTTGCACTCCGGTGCCACTGGGCCATGCCCAGTTCCACGCTGAACACTCTGAACATCAGCTCTTGGCTTGACACTCTCCCAATGCTGCGGAATGCTGCGGCTAGGATTGTGCTGGCGAGCTGGTCGACATTGCTCAGCGGGAGCCTTACCTAGAAATCGGGCCCGGCTGTGTGGTAAGCTGCTTGGAAGAATTCTGTTTTGTAATCTGGAAGGTGCCCTGACTTGCCTCCTTGCGAGAGCTGTGTACCACAGGCTCAGTAGCCAAGCGTGCAGCAGATGTCAGATGTGTCGTCAAACATCGTTGGATGTCAGAGCTATTGGAAGGACTGTGCGTTGGGCCAGTGGTCAGAGTGGAGCGCCCCTCTCTGCGAGGCCCCAGTTTTGCTCAGATTCTGTCCTCTTCATGTCACTGTACTTCGGTTTGTGCTGTGCGTACCTCAGGGAATTTGCACTCGAAGCCGCACCGTTGCCACTCCTAGCAACGAGTGTGGCAAGCCATGCGAGGGGACTGTGCCTCAGATTACCAGGTCGAGCCTCAAGTCGATGCATCTGCGAAAGCCATGCAAACAGAGCGAGGTGATTCCCGAATTGCTTTTCAAGGAAGAACATGTAGCTAATGTAGCTAGTGTATCTCGTGTAGCTAATGTAGCTTCAGATTGTGCACAACACAGCGACAGCCCCAAGAGGTGCATCTTGCAGTGGGGGATGGTGGTGTAGCCAAGGACACTGAATGGCACGAAGCCGTGCCCAGCTGACTGCCACAGCAAGGCCGCGTAACGTTGCAGGCACATTGTCCAGCTGGCCAAAATTTACTTGTGAGGACTGTCAACTCGGAAATTGGACTGCGTGGACTGCTTGCAGCTCTGAGCTTGACAACCGGTGACCTCAGCTTCAATGAGCCTCGCAGCTGGATATGGCTTTTTCATATCAGGTGGTTTCTGTGATGTCTGCCAGGTACCGGGCACGGCTGATTGCCAATCCTGGTGCCTTCGGTGGTAAGGCAGGAAGCTTGAAAAACAGTGCTACAATGCCTGAAAATTCGGAAAGACTTCAGTTTGAGGTCTGCTCGCTGAGCTCAGTCAATGAGACGGCTTCTTGCCAAACAGGGCAATGGACTCAAAGATTTTGCTGCTTTGTTTTGTTTTTAACGACGAGAACTTGAGCCCAACGGCGGCTTTGGAACGTGGCTGTGGCCGTGGCCAAGGCCAGCTGCCCCCATCGACTGTGTCCTGGCGCCATGGTCGGCATGGGGATCCTGCTCCAAAACGCGGGGGCTCCCGAGAATTTCCCATTTTTTTGGATCCGGACTCCGGCACCCTTTAGACTGTTGGAGTGGTCAGGTGCGGCGTCGGGCAACAGTCCCGCTCAAGATCAATCGCAAGTCAGGTGCCCCGTGTGGCTTTTTGTGGCTTTTGCGTGTCTTCTGGGTGGTCTGGGTGGTCTGGGTGGTCTGGGTGGTCTGGGTGCTCGGGATCTTCCACCGACGCATGCCAACGTCGAGAGGCTTCCTGAGTGTGCGCTCATGTGGCAGGCTTCGCGTGGCGGGCAAGCCTGCTTGGGAAGTGCAGCACCCAATGCTGGATCTGCAAACTTGTTACTCGTGGAGCTCCAAGAAGCTCAAGAAAGCTCTAGGAAGCTGCAAGGATTCGACTGACATCCGATTGGAGCATATTGGAGCCACATGTGTTTCAGACTGTCTTTCATCTTCCTGCATGCATCTTTGGACACGCAATGACACTCACAGATGTGCCGAGGCCTCAGCGAGTTGCAGCGCTGCGAGCCTGCGCTGCCAGGAGCCAAGCCGATTCCTGGCATGTCGTGAATGAAGGAGTATACGGGAGCCCTGCTACCGTAAACAGTTTTGTTGAAGCAGAGGTGATCTATGCACCTGTGCACAGTAACCACAGCATGAGGTGTGAGGCGACTTCTTCCGCCCTTGCGGATTGCCAGTTTGGTCCGTGGCCTGAGGCTCAGTATCCGGAATCTAAACTGCAAATGCCACAGTGTCACACAACGTACTATCGAGACCTTCAGGTCTATATGGCAGGACTGTCACGGCGGCCAGCAGGCCTTTGCTGCTTCTGGAGATGATTGAAGCTTGATGTGCGCTGTCCATCGCCTGCAGGTCAGGACCCGCAAAATAGCCAATCCAGCCTGGAACTAACATTCGCTTATCTGGTGATGCAGCAGACTCCGTCTTTCAAGCAGTGCCCAATGCAATCATCCTTGTGAGCGAACGTCAGACAGGGTCCTCCGCCCCCTGAACCAGAACAGGCACAAATCATTGTAGGGGTCAGGTTCCCAACATGTTCAGGACTCCACAGCGTTTTTGATTGGCTGCATTGGCTGGGAGACTCATGACTAGCTGGATGTAAGAATGACGGTGTTTCTGTCGTGTCCCAGATGTGCGCACTCCTGTCTGTCCGATCAGTTTACTTGGTTGTCCCACGCTCCCACTTTCAGCGTTCTTCTCCAAACTCCTGCTTGACCCGAGCATTGCAGACTCATCTTCCGCTTGTTTCTTTGTTGGGCAACTTGCCTACCCATATTGCGTGGGACGAGCCTTTGTGCGGATATAAGACCTGCTTGTATAGTGTGCCTAAGGCCGAGTCAAGTGGCGAAGCTTGCGAAGGTCCTGTTCAAGAAACCCAAGGTTGCGGCCAGGACATGCCAGCCGCTGCCAGCTCGTCGTCCAGCTTTGATCGGTTCGTTTCTGGCAGGAGGACCACTCACAATCCCGTGACTGTGTGTTCTCGCTGTGGAATGAGCCGCTAACTCATGCCTCAAAGAGCTGGAGGTTGTTCTCTTCAATTTCAGCCAGTTCAACCATGTCTCGAAGTTGCACACACACTGTAGGTGGAGCGCATGCTCAAAGTCATGCGGTGGAGGGCAGAGGCTTCCCTTCAGTTCAGCTTCAAGTCATTCTGGCAATGACTGCTGTACCTGCAACTTCATGCATGTTGCTATGCCGCTTCGTCAGTTCCCGCTCTCGCGTCATTGACGTGCATGCTCACGGAGGCACGTTTGCCAGCCTTGCTAGTGCCTTCCTTTGATGTTCAACTTTGCCCTGATGCCTTGTTTAGTCCCTCTCGATGCTTTGCAGATGGGGCGCAATGCGCTGGAACACTCCTGGAAACAAAGCCGTGTGCTATGGACCGAGCTCCTCACTTGCTGCTTTTCGATTGGTAAGAGGATGTCACCTGAGCTGTGGAAGGACTCATGTGTAGATGCTGTAGACACTGCTGGCGCCTTAAACCATGAGCCTCTCCTGATTTGCATGGGTGATGACATCATCTTGTACCAAGATGTGCACCTATACGGACTGGACTGCCTGGGGGCCCTGTTCGCGTTCCTGTGGAGTAGGGTACCAGGACCTCCATGGTGATTGCAAGTGCGCCGTGTTTACCAGACTGGCGAAGAAAACATGCAGTGTCTGTCAGGAGCGTTCTCGTGATATTCGAGCACCAGCCGTCACAGGAACCGCAAAGCATTGCAGTCGATCTGAATCTTAATCGTGTCGGACTTGCCAGGATAGCTGAAGCGCATGGAAGCAGACCTACTTAACATGACGGTGTTGAGTCATGTCATCGCAAACTCGCACAAAACCATGATTAGGTCGTGATGTCAAAAAAACTTGTGACTTGCTGGGGAGGTTTGAGTGGCTGCAGCGGCACGCTGCGGGAGGCAGTGCTCTGGGAGCTGGGAAAGCGAATGTCCTTCCATGGCTCGCGTTGGTGAGTTCTCGATGCTCCTGCAGTCGACGCCATGCCCATCGACGCAGTGCCAAGATGCCGTGGACTGTGTCTGGGCTGAGTGGGAAGAGTGGTCGGAGTGTGTGCAGGCCGGCATCTGCGGTGAGTGATTCACCAATGCTCTCGAAGTGGGGTTCTTCGTTCGGTTGCAGAAGCTCGGCCTTGCAACTGCCTCTGCAAATTCTTTGGGAGGCACCTTCCATTTGCGGCATTGGGTCCAAGCGTTTGCCTCTCAAAGGAAAAGGTTTCGGCCGATTCTTTCTTTGCCAACATCGCGGGGCAGCTCTGCGAATCTCTGCGACATCCGCCAAGGTCGCAAACGAAGCATTGGCGTCATGCCTGCCAACGGTGGTGCCCTGTGTGACCCCAGGCGGGAGTTCATTGGACGGACAAGGACTGATCCTTGTGTTTCAGGAAGTCCCATGCTGGCAGGCCATTGGAGGAAGTCATGCCGGTCAGCAACTGTCAAGGGCAGGCAAGTTGGCATACAGTCTAAGTGTCCGAGGAACTGTGTTCTGTGAGCAAGACAGCCGAAACAAAAAAGACTGTCAGGCTCCATGTTGCATTGACGGTGAGTGGCAAGATTGGCAAGAATGGGGAGCGTCTGCCTGGCATCCTTGGATGTCATGTCCTGTCTTGGGCCAATGGGGAAGTGCAGCCAGGTGCAGTGCACCGCGTGGCAGTGGAACCCGCAAAAGGGTTCGAGCGGCGACGCAGGACGGGCCGCCTGCTGCAAGATCAAGGTACAGTGTGGAAAGAGTTCCCAACCATGTGCACATCTCCGGACTATGGCTCAAGACAGCTTGGAGCGAGCTGCGACACCATCGCCACGAGAGAAAGCCCCGTGTAAATGGCCGCATGACGCCTTAAGGTTGCACTAGTTTCGGTTGCTGCTGTTGTCGCCATGGGGGGCGGCAAGATTCGCAGCATGACCGAGTTGGATCCGCCAACGCCGGAGGACTCCGGGAACTTTGCCTTTCGAACGCCTCTTTCAGGCTTTTGAGAGTTTCGAAAGCTTCTTGAAGCAGGAAATTGACGCCTTTGTTGTCGAGAATCGCCGGTGGCTCTCAGATGAAGCAGAGGTGCTCTCGCACTGTTGAGCCGAGATTGAAGCCACGTCGATTGTTGTGTCAGGGCATTTTGCGCGGGATGGATGGCCAGGACCAGCGCCATGTAAGAACCTTGGTTTTTGACCTTGAAGGTGTTTTTCTGCCGATCCCGTTCCTGAGTTGAGTCAAGGTCCTGGAAGAGGGCTCTATGTCCAACTGCCGAGATCCAGTCGCCATCGTAAAGTCTCGGGCCTGGAATGGTCACTTGAAGGCGGGACTTTGGGGATACCGCAGAGCCAGAAGCAGAAACACAAGCCGATGATGAAGTGATGTGCCTCTGGGAAATGCGAGTCACTGATTCTGTCAGCAAGCGTGCAGCTGGCTGTCGGAATTCGCAGGCTTCCACGTGTTGAGGCTGTTGAGTGGAAAGAAACGAGTTGATGTGAGAAGGAATCCAAAGTCTTGTCAAACTTACTCATCTTCAATGCGGAAAGATCGAGCAAACATCTGTTGTTCAGCATCATGCGGTTCGTGTGCATCACGTTCCAAGTCTGCAGTAGGATTCATGCCGGTTACATGCGCTTTTGCTTTTGAAAACATTTTTTTTACTTCGGACTTGCACATATGTTGAGAGGTTCTGTCTCATTTGTTGCTCCGGTGGCTTTTTGAAGGCACATCTTGACTGGATGGATGCGCGGCGGGATGCATCTGCTCAGCAGCTTGTCGATGACTACATTACTGCCAACTCCAAGTGGATCACTCCAGAAGCAGAAGAGCTGTTGGCATCATTGGAGCTCGACCTGCTGTGGAGAGTGATCGACTATGGATCCCTGCAATTCTGTCGCGATCCGGTTGCCATCATCCGCAAACGGATGAATGATTCCAGGCGAGACAAGGCGTGGAGCGCGTCATGTGCGAGTGGCGTGTGCAGCTGTTGCCATGTTGATGTTTTGTCATACTGAGGGTGGCAAAGGTGGCAAAAGCGGCAAAGGCCGGCGAAGAGAAGGAAGGGAAGGAAGAGAAGGAAGGGACAGAAGGGAAGGAAGGGAAGGCAGGGACGGAAGGGAAGGAAGGGAAGGACGGGAAGGACGGGAAGGCAGGGAAGGAAGAGAAGGAAGAGAAGGAAGAGATGGAAGAGAAGGAAGAGAAGGAACGGAAGGAAGAGAAAGAGAAGGAAGGGAAGACTCCAAAAAGAAGGTATGCTTGTATGACACGCTGTCGATGTCAAAGGAGCCAAGCCTTCCTTTCAGCCAGCGCCAAGCCAGAGGCTCTGAGTCAGGACCCGTTCATGACTGCATGATCATCTTCTGAGGTCCAAGAGAGGCGTCCGTCTTATGCAGAGGATTTCAGAGGCCTTCTGAATGCTCCTTGTCCCTGGACCCATCCAGCCTTCTCGCTCATACCAAGCTTATCCTTGCTGCCAATGTCCGCAAAAACCAGAAATGCTTGTTCCTTGTCTCCAGTCCCATCTCATCTCTGACCTTTCCCAGCCCGAAAACCGAACCCAGGCTTCTCCGCGAAAACCTGCAGACAACTCCAGAAAGCTAAGTTCGCTGCCAGCAATGTCAGGACCCTCGCAGTCGGCCCAGGCTGGACTTTGCGCTTAACTTCCCCAAAGTCTTCCGAGAGCTGCTGTGTTGCCTTGTCAGGGAGCAGATGACAAAAGGGGGCCGGACGAAAAGCACATGCGAGCCGTTGAAGAGGGCAGATGCTTGTTCTGCGTGGGGATTCCCCCACTGTGGAGCGTCAGCCAGATCGAAGAGTTCTTTAACTATCATGGCATCATCGAGTCTATTTATATGCGCGAACCTGAGTTGAGCGATTGCCTGAAGCCATTCCCGAGCGCCATCGCAGATGCATCGTGAGCACTTGATTGTGAGGCTGAACTTGCAGAGAGGCACCAACAAGAGGGCGGCCTACATCAACTTCACCACGACTGAGGGTGCGACAAACGCCGCCCTGGTATGCGATAGGCATTACTGGCAGTGCGTCGCTGTTCCTCAGCATGACTTCTTGAAATTCCGCTTGTTGAAGGCTTGAGGTCGAGCACAGAGAGGAGAAGCATTACCTATGCTGCAGCATCAAGCAGAAGGCAGAGCAAAGCCCTTTAAGCCCTGTTCATCTTGGACAATTCGCAGGGACCAACCACCCTTGTTTGCTTGTTTGCTTGTTTGTGGTCAGGCTGGTTCCAAGACCTACACAAGAAGGCTAAGCCAAGGGCTTCGTGGAGAGGCGTGTGCCAAACGTGCCAAAGCCGGTTCGTTATTCTAGGTACGGTTCGCTACGACTGATGCCACAGACACAGACTCTCACGTCAGGTCGATTTTAAGCAAGCTCAAGAAGAATCCCGCACGGTATTCCTTTCGAAGACTCTTAGCAGCAGAGGGTGGTTCTTCTCACGCCAGGTTGCAATTCTGCCATCTTAGCTTTCGTGGCACCGCGGCACAACTTCAGCCCCAGGCTGCCAGCAGGCACAACCCAAGATCAGATACAAGAGCTGACTGAGAATCACGGAGTGGTGGAGGCAGGTGGTTGTACGACAATCTGTTACAGTATCCAAACTTTTCCTGCCGAAATGCTCGCAGGCAATCCATATTCTTCCCGCTTCGCATTACAGCACCATCGCCTGCTTTGTTACCATGGAGAGCCCTGGAGAAGCAGCCTTCATGATCAGGGCACTCAACAACACAGAGGTGCAGTGGTGGTGCAGTATCGTCAGCAACATATCTGTTTTTCCCACCTGAAAAGTGCGGTTGTTCGATTTTGAGGACAAAGTGGCACGCATCATGTGAAGCGACGCGGTCTGCACAGCAGGCAGTACAGCTTTCAGGCAGTACAACATTCAAGACAAAAGGCAGGCAATTGTACCAAAATGTGACTTGAATAAGCGATCCAAAGGCTCAGGCAGGGAGGTTGCCTTCTGCGGCTTCTGGTTTCAGCTTGTGCAGGCGATGCCCTTCAATACAGTGATTGAGGCACGAAGCCGACAAACCTAACAAGATCCTCGTCTCGGCAGACTGGAAGGAACAGGCGGAAACTGAGGGGACCCGATGGGAACAGCCACAGGCGCAAAGCCGATCCATGCCAGGAAGCCCCGTACACTGCAAGCAGTGCCGACGAGCTCAAGACCCGTCACAGGACAGGCCGACGGGCACAAGAAGGGGTGACAGGACCTCCACAGGACCCCGACCGGCATGAAGTGTAACAAGCAGGAGTCTCAGACGGGCAGCTGAACCAGAATGTTGCCTCAATCTAAGCAGGCCTGGAAGGCTCAGGTGGGCAGCTGTCTCGGAATGTCGTAATAGTACAAGCAGGGTAAGGAGGTAAGCAGGTCAGGCAGCCCCAGGCGGGCAGCTGTACCGGAATGTTGTCTCAATCTAAGCCGGCCACCTCAATAGACCAACGAAGCCCAAGGCGCGCAACTGTACCGGAAAACTTGGTTCCATCGGACCAGAAAGGGGTTGCTCGAAGTGGTAAATTGCTTTTTGCACCGCCAGAATTTCTTGAGCACAGGATGTTATTGACAGAGCTGACATAGCTGTTGTGTGCCAGGCATTCGGAACCTTCATTAGCGCCAGTCTCGCCGTTGAGAAGAACGAGAAGAGGAAGAAGCTTCATCCCGAAGAGGAGTGGATACAATGGTATCCGCTAGAGATTCGCAATTTCCCTCACTGGACGGTGGTGGATGACATCAAGGCGACCATTACAACAGTTGGGCCAACTTCACAGCGCGTGCGCATCATGCATTATGATCCGGTGCCGACCCTCAGCGTTGCCAGAGCTTACTTCAGGGAAGAGCCCGACCGGGACGACTGCCTCAAGGCTTTGGCTGGCTACGAGTTCTCTCCTGGCTATTCCTTGCAAGTCATGGCCCTTCCAAGGACTGCTTCGCTTCTGTCCTCAAACTCCTCAGTGCCTGCATCTCTCATATCCAGCTGGTGTTGTGTGTTTTTTTTTACCCAAGCTCCACTGTACGAACTCTGGGTCGACAGGGTGGAGGGTTACTTGCTAGGACTCCAAGAGCTTGAGAACTACAAGGCGTGCGTTTAGGGCTGGGTGACTCTGGCTCAAGCTCCAGGTGTAAAGAATCACATGAGTGCCCACTCCCAAACGTGCCAGCACTGTTCGTTTTGAGGATCGGGCTCTCTTCCAAGGCTTCTGTCGCCTCGTTGAAGGCCATGCTTAAATCAGGGTACGTCCAAACCGCCCAGACTGAACCGGATTCTTCCACAGTATTCCATTGTTCAGCAAAGCTTCGAGATGCCAAAGGTCAAAGGTGAGAATGCGCAGCGTGCAGTAAGACATGCATGGCCAGGCAGCGATGGAGACGAGTTTGCGTGCTTGGAAATTACAGGCGACATTGACGTGTTCGGAGGCATAGCCGCGCGTTCTCGCTTTCGAGCGCAATAGAGATGGCGAACAGGGCAGACCTCCTCTAGCGCAAGCTCGGTTGCAAGGATGAGCCGGGCCTGAGACGGAGAAGCGCTTCTAAAAACGATGCAGCACGGTTAAGCCCACAGTGTGACCTCAGCAATGACAGGGAGACGACCTGTGACAAACCGAACGCGCGACCAAGAGGCTTTCGTTCTTTGCAGTTGCGGCGACGCGCTCCGCATCAAGCTGTTTGTTGCAACAATCCGGCAGACAATTAGGCGACTATGCCCAGCAAAGGAGGGAATAGGATGTTTACTCGCTTCTGATTTCTCGCTTGTGACTTTTTGAAAAAAGCTGCTTCTCGCTTGTGACTTTTTTTGCGTACAGAGGCTCAAAACACTGCAAAACACAGCGTGTTTTGCTAGGAGCTGCTAGCGTTCATCTTCATTTTGTTGTTGCGTCCTTCTCCCTTTGTCCGCTTTCCCGTTGGCTTGCCGAGTCCGTTGTCTCCGCTCGTCTCCCTTAGTCTCCCTTCCTGCTGGGACGGGGGTGCCGGGTTTTTGCATCACCAGTGTCTTCACTTGCCTCCCTTTTGTCTCCCTTCATGTTGGACAGGGTTTGATTACCCCCCCGTTCTTGGGCAGCAGCGTGAAACCCACTGTTGTCGAGAAGCACGTCCTTTCCACCCGCTGTTGTTGAGCAGCACGTGCAACACGCTATTTTCAAGCCCCCCCTTCATGTGCAGGTGAGGTATGGTGAGGTTTTGTACATCCCAAGACTGATATTTGAATGGCCATTGTTTCGGACGCCGACACATGTTTGTTGTGGTGTGTCCTTACTGGTAAGGGATTTGAAGCCCCGCGCCAGCATGCAAACGCGTGGCCCGATGCTCACAGGCCTTCAGCCTTCAGGGCCTGAGGTTTTCAGCCACAATTCATTCATGGTGCAGAACAGTATTGTGACATTCTTCCTTCGAGATGCCTTTTGGTTTGCTTTGAGGACTTCCGGAGCCGGTCCTGGTGCGGCAAACCACCACACTCCGCAGCCACAAATGCCGACCTTCAACTCATTTTCCAACCCCAACAGCCAGTTGATGATGAACAATATGAACAGGCCAATGATGCCAGTTCTCAACATGCCCAACAGGCCGATGATGCCTTTCCTCAACATACCTGGAGGAGGAGTTCAAGTTCAAAACACGACGTCTTTGCCTGCTGCCTTCGCCATGGGATGGATGCCTCCGCCTGTTGGTTGAGACTGAGCGCGCAACTGCAGGTCATGAATGTGGGAGAGGTTCTCAGAGATGTTCGCGCGTGAAGGTGAAGGGTCCATAACGATCCACGACGAGGCCTTTTCAGGAGTCCAAAGAAGCCTGAGGCCATTCTGTGAACGACCCCAGCGAGGCCTAGGTCACAGCTCGCAGCTCGCGTCGCTCGCGTCTCACGTGTTGTGCCAAAGAGCCCCCCCAATGGCAATCTCTCTCGGCAGAAAGCAGCGGTCGTGCAGTGAACATCCGTACCAGGCATGTGATCAGTTGCGGTTCAGTCATGCCAATGTCGTACTCGTAGAGTCGTACAGGCTACAAAGAGCATCAGTCAACATGTTGCTGCCAGAAAGCGAACATGTCCAGTTGCCAGGAGACTTTCTGTGGAAAACCTCCAGCGGGTTCCAGCACAGAGTATGAAGAGTGCTCCACAGGCGTGTCCGTGGGTCCAAGAATCCCTTTACTCACCCTAGACAGAGCTGCGTGCAAAATGTAGTTTCTTCACCAACAGCCGTGTTGATGACTGTGGGGGGGTGGCTGTGCTAGTGAAAGCCAGAAGAGGGACTGGTCCAGTGACCAGTGCGACTTCGAACTCGAACTGAAATCGCTTATTCATCCCGAGGTCGATACGGTTGCTGGCATGGGAGCAGCTTCGGTTTCAAGTGTGTAGCAAAAGACCTTGCCAGTTGACGTCGATTGCCAATTCGGAGAGTGGACGAACTTTTCCGCCGCTTTCTCAGCTCTGAGGTCTTTTGCCTTTAAGCAGCGTCACTCTATTGAAGTCTTTATCTGCTCTGTTTCGAGGCCTGCTCTGCCGCTTGTCACGGCCAGCAGCGGAGCCATCGTCAGATCCTCCGGAACAGCTCAGGCACCTCGCATTTTTTCTCCAAATTCACTCGCCTCTGTCACAGGCGTTCGATGGTGTTCTTGTCGTGCTCTGTCTTGTCTGAGTGCTTTGCAGGCAACGGCCTTCCCTGTGCTGGAGCCGTGGAGCGAGCCGTTCGGAATCTTGCTTGAGAAAAGGAATGCTGAGACCCGGTGCTTTTACTCTTAACATGCTGGCAGCATCTGTCGTGGCTCCTAGGTGCAACCCGGCTGAAGGCGAAGATCCGCCTGTAAGCTGCGGGTACCGTGCCCAGAAGCTGGAAGAAGCTGGTAGGTCTGATGTCGACTGAATGCATCTGAATGTGCACGTGAAAATGCACGTGAAAATGCACGTGAAGTGCATCTGTAGAGTGCATGGAGCTGGAGAGCGCAGCCAGCAGGAGTGGTGACCACCAAGCCAGCGGAGTTCAGAACTGTGTCATGAGCGACTGGTGCGCCGTGGCAGATTTTGTGTTGGCTTGTGAGTGGATGTGAGAGGCTTGTTATAGTGAGATGTGTGTGACATATGCTTCAGCATGCCAGGTCAGAGTGGACTTCTTGCTCAGCAACATGCGAGCTGGGGTTCTCTACACGCTCAAGGTATGTTGAGGCTGACGGTTCATTCACGAACCCCTTTTCTGGCTCGAGGATCGCATCCATGTCTGAAGCGGCAGGTCAATCCTCAAAAAGGCGGAGAGTCTTGCCCCAGCAGTGTCAAGGATTGTGGTGTGCATTTTGCTTTTGCCGGGGCGAGAAGGCTTGCTTATCGTTTTTCTCTTGTCGTTGAGGAGCAGTTATGATCAAGATACAACTCTTACACTTTTATGATAGAACTAGCTTCTTTGCACACGAGATCTTGAGCTCCGCAGTGCGGTGGCTGTCGCAGGAGATGAAAGCATGCAACGATGGCGTCAGCTGCTTCGAAGGGCGGGCTGGGACCTTAGACGCTTCCTTGGGACATATGTGAGAGCTCAGTATACATCGTCTTCACTGCGATGACTGGTCGTGGTGGAGGTAGTAGTCGTGGTCGTGGTGGTGGTAGTAGTAATAGTCATCGTGGTGGTACCTCAACTCTTGGCAGTAGCATTCGAATCTGGATAGGAGGCTCAAAAGATTCGCATCCGCGGTTGCCCCGAATCTAGAAAGATCCCTGGAAACCGATACCCTGGATCTCCTGAATCGAGAGTATCACTCTTCTCCATCATGGCTCAGGTTCAATATCGGCATTAGTGGGTGATGTTGAAGGTTTGGCGGACGTTTCAATAAACATGGGGTGTCTTCCAATGTTCGTAGGCAGGTTCTCATGACCGCTCAAAGTCCGGAATGTTGCGAACCTCGCCTGAGCATTGAAAGCAAGCTTCATCTTTGCACACGAAGCCACGGTCATGATGAGGGAAACCTGGAACAGAGGCCACCCTCCAAATGCTGAGAAGTGGAATCGATGGCCCCTGCTGTTTTTACGAAGCACGAGCTGTGATCTAAAATAGGTTCTCGTGGGAGTACCGTGGCGCAGCGATTCGTGGGGCTTGTAGGATGCCAATCGCAGGTCTTGAGTGCGCTTGTAATCTTGTCATGATTGTTGAGGTAGACTGTGTATGGGAAGAATGGACAACGTGGAGCCCGTCCATGCCTCAAGCTCAATATGCAGCAACTTGCCACTTGCTGTCAGCATAAGTGGCAGGTGTGATGCTTTCGACCTCACGATGCGAACTCGTGGGTATGCCCGTCATGCTGTCGAGTCCTCAAGTGTGCAGTATGCAGGGTCCCGTTCAGTCTTCCGGACCACTTAGGCGTCCGGTGGTTTGGACTGCTCTGGCAGCATGCGAGAAGTGAAGGGCTGCAGCAGCGGAGGGGACACTTGCTCAGTCTCCTGGTGCCCGCCTCATCTGCAGCCTTCTGGTGGTGGGGTGGCGTGGTTTGCCTTGTATGCTCTTCAGTTTTAGTGGCACAGATCGCAAGAACTACTAGTCGTCCGACCTTCTTGCCCTTACCCAGGTACAACTGCTCGTGGGGCCATGATCCCGGCTTTGGCAAGATTCGAGCATGCAGCGACAGCTCTGTGAATGTCAACCAAACATGAGTCAAAGCACGGATACATTTGTGGCGCCTTGACAGTACCTTTCACAGCAATTACATGGATCTCCCTAGGTGCTAGGAGTAGTGGGGGGAGTGGGAGTGTGGAGGCCAGGGTTACATGACTGCATGTGCTTCAAGTTTCGCCCACCTTTGCATGACACCGCGTAAATATAGCGCGGAGCAGGTAGCGTCTCGAAGGCACTGAAACCACAAACAAACTCACCGTGGAACATGCCTGCAGAACTTGATAGGGGAAAGGCAGAGGGGACGTGTGGTGGGTCGTCCTGTTCGCTCCAAAGCAAGAAAGCATGTTGGCGTAATGTAGGACTGCTCTCGAGGCCAGTGGTCACAGTGGTCAGCCTGTTCAGCTACGTGTGGTCGCGGGGGGGTATTCTCCTCATTTCCGATCCGGCACATGCCAGACATTCTTTGTATCAGTTGCTTGTCATCTGAGGCGCAGAATCGCAAGCGTCAATTGCAGGCGCTTTGTTTGCACGGAGTGATGGTTGGTGATCTCTCCGTCTCCTTGTCTCTCTGCCCACCCCTTTGCTCTTGTCTCCATTTGTAAAGTGCTGTCGCTTAAATTTGTCGTGCCGAAGACTTGTTGCAGGTGGGCTCGAACCCAGTGCATGCGCCGGTACTTGACTGAACAAGTGGCCACTTGTGGTATGACAGTTCCTGTGGCTGTTTCCAAGGCAGAAGCAGGGCTTGCCATGAGTGCGTTCGCGCCATAGTCACTGACCCTCCAATGGTTCATCAGTTCATCATCAACTTTCTTCCACTGGCTGAGGCCAAGTGAGCAGTCGCAGAGCTCGTCAAGCCTTTCTGCATCACAGACGGCTGGGCCGACTGAAATTGCGTTTGCCTCGAATCGGTGGCAACATCTCCGTACTGCAGCAGACATGACTTGAGGTTGACTTCAACTGTGCGGAGAACATGAACTGGCAAGATCAGTGGCCGAGCGATGTGAGAGCGTATTGTTGTCTGACACTGAGCGTTGAAAGCCGGAATCAGTTCAAATGTTGTCGGACATGTATACAGCATTATCACATCGAGCTGGTAGCAGCTCCTAACACTGACCTTTTGAGGTCAGAGAGGAATCTGCGAGGCTGAGAGTGCCGGCAGTGCTTGGAGTGTCACCTTGATGTGCTTTGTCAAGCCTTTCCGGATATCTATTTTGCCAGGGGGCTGCGGCTGTGCCAGAGCCCCAATCCAGGTTGTGTTTGCCAACATGTGCAACATGAGCCACTCCAACCTCTTGAAGCTCAATCGATCCTGCCAAGTCCAAGCGAGCTGAGCCCGGAAATACTGCCCGGTGACGACACCCTTTTGCAGGAGATGTCTCTGCCCTTGCTTTCTGCCATTGCAAAAGACAGCAAAGCCAGCAAAGAGTCGGAGAGTCATACGGGTTTTCCTTCTAGGTCGCCTGCAGACACTGTGATTGGGTATGACGTGGCCTCGCTCAAGGAGAAGGTGCAGGGTGCCACCTTGATACGGGTTCTGACATGCATTTGGCTTCAGCGTGAGGTGAGAGCTGCAGAGGCTCAACATCACAGCGCAACTCGTCTGAGTCAGATGGCCCACTGCAACTGTTGAGCTCTGTACTTGAACAACTCTCACTATGGTGCTGCAATGCGGCTATGGTGGCCCGTACAAGAGAGATGCAAAAGTCGCTTCGACATAGCACTTCAGGATCGTTTGGTCGCCTTCATCCTGGGCAGCGTGTGTTTCGACCTTGGCGCCTCGTGGAGCTTGTTTTTTGGTTTCGCCACCTGCAAGCTTGAAGACCTTCGTTGAGGTCTCCTCAGCGGATTGATCCTCAGCAGCCCACACCTCGGACGGAGTCTTTCAGCTCTGCCGAGTTTCGCATGTCGGAGGCCGTTTCTGTCTGGTCGCATTCCCGAGGAGTCTTTTCCACCAGCAGATCCACCTCTGAAGTCCTTCCCAGGCGATTGTACCAGGCATTTGCTGGTAGCAAAGGGGGGAGGAAGCTTTGAGTTGTTCCAGGTACGACGCGGTACAACAGATTCTTTGACATGTGACCGAACTGCTCCAGTAGTTAGTGGTTTTGGCCTTTGAGATTGAGCCAGCGAGCTATAGCAAGGTCGCAACATTCTGGTAGTGAAAGCTGTTCCTGGCCGCTCAATCCAACGCATTTTTGTTTTCATATTTGCACCAAAGGTTGCATGAGTTGCACAATTCAGCCGTTCTGGACACTTGTCTTGGCAGTGAGCCACCAGCGGCATGGTGTTCTGTCCTTCAGTTGGTGACCTGAAGTTCCGGAACGTGTAAGACTTCTTTGTTAAATTCGGGGCTAAAGAGTCCCGCTGCATGTTTCAGTGGCTTGTGCAAATGCATGGCTGCAAAATGATCTCAATGCACCCTGGAGCTTCCCGTTGGCTCGGTTTGCTTGTGGTAGCTGTACGAGGAGCTGTTAAATCTGTTCTGGCTCATCAGCTCAAACAAGATATGTTGCTAGTGCTAGTATCTGCCAGTGCAGCAAGCACCAGTGAAGTAGAGGAACCAGCTTTTTACAGGCAGTGGCAGTGGCTTAACCATATCCTGCCCGAAGAAAGCAGCTCCACAACAAGGAGCCAAGTTTATCTGAGCTGGAAGCTGCCACTGCAATGCGAGGACGTGACGTTGGGGAAGGCGGTTCATGAATTTAGGACGCAGGACACAGTTTGATTGTGGCTGCTTGAGGTGCAGCCCGTGACGGGCTTGTACCAAGGAGATCTACCAGGACTCTGTGTTCGTTCCCTGGCATCCGCCATCATCATGTGCCTCTTTGGTGATCTTTTCTTGCGACACTTCTGCAGTACTTTCATACCCATTCATCCTCGGCTTCCGGGGCGGGCTAAACATGCCCAGACATGGTATGAAGATATTGATTGTTGTGAAGGACTCTGAAGAGGCATGGTGTGGTCACGGGTTGCATTGCTGGTGCTGCTAAGCATCCCATCTGTGCACTGCCCAGCAGTGTTTCCAGTCACGAATCGGCAGAAGTCAGTGGAAGCCCGCACCCACTCAAGGCCGATGCCGATGTCTGCAGCAATGGAATTGGCCCTACTTTGCCTGCCTCTGTATCAAGAGTCTAAGAAAGGGTTGCATATGTTGTGCGGCTCAGGCAGCTCAGTCACGGACCTTCCACCCCTTGTGGATCCCAAGATGGTCCGCAGAGGCAGCGCCAGCAGGGCTTGCAAGATCTTGAGGGACTTGATGCAACCGCGTGTAGGTCAAAGAGAGACGATCTGGAGCTTTGCACCCCCCTCGCAGGCGGTTCGACCTTGTTTCTCCTCTGCAAGTTACAGTGGCCTGCCAATTTTGGTGCACCAGGATATTGCGATCGTTCTGACGCCGTCGAACAGCTCGATGAATCCCGACATGAGGTGGGAGCTCAGCTGGGAACATGGCTCAACTGCAATCCGTGTCGCTTCAAGGTTATACGCGCTCTCAAGTACAACGGCTTGCCAGCCTGTGCAGAACTCGCAGGATCAGGGCCGAGCAGCAGTGTTCTGCGAAGCTTCAGGAAGTGTTTTGACGGCATCGCATTTAGGAATATTTAGGACCACGAATTTGGCAGTTTGGCAGTGAAAAGGCACCCTTAAAACTGCACAGTTGCCACCGGTTTATCGGCGGGTTGTCGGTTTCAGCCTGCCGCCCCGATCACCTCGTGCTCCATTTCAGGATTCCAAGTACCTGCAATTCAGGACGCTCAGGCACCCCTCAGAACTTTGTCGACAGACATGGTATCGGCGCGTCATCCCTGCGCATCCCTCTCTTGCCTTGTGACGTACAGGCTGAGTCTTCGGAATCTGGAGGATTGCATGCCTCGACTGGAATCGTCCGGCTGCCACAAAGTTTGTGTTCCAAGATTTTCCAAGCTTGTCGAGCTGACACCATTCACCACAAACCGTACTGGTCAAATGCGCATCTGTCGCCAAAGCTTCGGAATCGACGGCCGTGTCCTGTGGCCACGACTTCGAAGATATGACCCCCCACAACAGCTCGCAACATGACACGAGATACAAACAAACCTGGCGTCGACCAACAACATCTTTGGCGGACTATGTTGTACCTGCGCTGCGTGTGGGATATTCCTCTATCACAGCTCTTGGGTGAGGAGCTTGGTTCAGATTACATGCGTCTTGACCGGAATCTGACCGAGCATTGGAATGTGCCTCTGCAGCAAGCTAGGTTCATTCTAGCTTCAATCAGAGTTTGGAACTACCAGAGAAATGCAGATCCAGGTTTCAAAGTACTTCCTCCACGTCACCTGCAGAGACCAGGTCCTCCCTGACTGCTTTGCATCCGTCTCTGCTCTGACAGCAAGAAAGTGCAAATCTCTTTCAGCTTTGAGGACAAATGCCAGTATCACCTCTCTTTGTCAACGCTCGAAGACTGGGAGGTGTGCGGACCGGCAGTGAGAATCCTGCGGCGTGTGCTTTCTTCGTTGAGTGCGCGTGCGCTCGTGCGCGTGCGCTCGTGCGCGTGCGCTCGTGCGCGTGCGCTCGTGCGAGTGCGCTCGTGTGCGTGCGCGTGTGCGCGTGCGCGTGCGTACGTGCGTGTGTGCTTTGTGAGGTATGGGCAATTTGAGTTGAGGAGTTCACACCTAGCCGTTGTGAGCAGGAGATGGCGGACGGTGATGAAAGGTCCGCTGTTGCCTACCACGGAGTACCTCTTCACTTCAAGTTTGTGTGCGGAGCAAAGTCCCATCCACAGTTTCTCCAAAGCACAAGGATTCGCACAGTTCTTAAGAAGCATGTTGAGGTCAGGTTAACGCTCACTGAGGTGTGCACAGGCACTCGAAGCCAACTCGCAGCAACGGGTGACGTTCAGGCGCGATGTCTTTTGTTCGGCTTGCTTTTCCCTTCTCTGGCTGTTTCGTGCGCCTCGCCAGTGCTTGGCCTCGAGATGCATCCTCCACGAGACACCTGACGTTGCTGGTCGGGTCTTATGCCATGACTCACAGCCCTGGCGCCCTGTGCCTCCCTTTGGATCAGGTCCGCCATGGGGACTACCCTACTACGAATGCCCTGGAACACCTGAATGCTCAGCCCTGAGCAGGGCTGAGCAACCGTTTGCACCGCTTCCACACAACAAGTGGAAGTTCGTCGAACGCAGATGAAGACAGCATAGTCCAGCAGGCCACCAGAGGATGGTTCAGCGGAGAGGCTTGCAATGGCTTGCAACGGCTTGCAACGGCTTGCAACGGCTTGCACGGGTGTGGAAATGGTCTGGCACTGCTCCGCGGCCACATCGCAGGTCGTCACCACAGCAGCGAAATCAGGAACTTACTACATCACCGTGCTGAAGAGGTCGCGATCAGTCTTTTCCTTCGGTCATGCTGGTTTTTGCCGTGTAAATGTCAGGCACGGTCTGTCGCCACTCCCTTTTGCCATCTCTGTGGGCACGGCTTCTTTCCACAACCACATCAAGCGTGAACATCCGCAGTGGCATTGCAGAGACATCGGCGGCAAGTCGAGATGTGAGTGACTCCGCGCGACCTTCTTTAAGAGATCCGAGCTCCAGATGCGAGTGCCAGGTGTCTCTTCCTGAGACGATCGAGACACTCCAGCTGGGAAAGCCCCGCTTTGGTGCAGTACGGAGGCCAAGGGAGACGAGACAGAAGAGAGGAGAGGGGGAGCTTTACCCTGTCCGTCAAGCCCAGGGAAGAAGGAAGAGCTAGCACAGCCCAAGGATGCTAACAGAATAGAGAAGACCGCATGCGTCGTACTTGCAAATAGCCTTGACGCAGCCTTGGGTCGCTGTCGTGTATGGGCGCCCTGAACTCCACGAAGCGGAAGCACTTGCCACCGCGGGGAACCGGAGTGGGTGCCGTGTGCCGGGGCACTCCAAACACAGTGGGCCATGTGACCCTTCAGAGGGGGGGGTGCTTCGACTAAGAGCTTCTGCTCCAGTCACGAAACACGAGCAGGGGCGCGCCATCCTTCTACAAGTTCTATGTGGCTCATGCCCAGACTGACATCGAGGCTGGCTTCAGATCGGTTTCTGCCTGCATATCCTTGATTCAGCGCTCTCAGCCTCCATGCCTTGTCTCCGCATGTCTCTATCCTTTTCTGTGTGTGTAGGCATCTGTCCATCTGACCATCTACGCATCCTGCTCATGCTTGCAATTGGGCTGATCCGTCCAACTTCTCATTGTCGAGCTGTCGGTATCCATCCATTCAATCTGGCCCATTTTTTCTCCCCGGCTCAACCTCTCGCTCTCCATATTTCTGCGTCTCTTCCCCAAGTTTTCAAGGCTACTCCCTTTTTAGAGATTATGTGTTCGAAACATTCCTTCTATGGGCCTATCCGGCATGCCATGGGTAGGTTGCAGAATGACTCACAGGTTTACCTGACCAAGCTGGATGGAGACCCGGACTGCGCAGTATCTCATCAGCAGGAGCTCGTGTCAGATCTTATTGCACAGTGCTATCAGTGCTGTCATCCGCCATACCCTAATGCCTTGGGAAATGGCAAAAGGAGAACGAGCACCCAACACTAAGCAAGTCACAATGGTGCCTAAGCCCAGCTGCTGTGTGAAGGCTCTGTCTTTAGTTTGCTATGCTCATTTTAAGCGGGTCCCCTCTCCATCTTGTTTGAGGCACTCTGTGAAAGCCGGGGACGACGAGATCACGATTCCCCCGGCAGCTTCCACAGCCTAGGGTGGCAACACGTTTCGACATGTCTGCCCTCCATTGATTCACGGTGATTCGCTTTTCTCGTCAGGAAGACCCAGAACGAATACGGCACCGCACGGGATGGTCATCAGCTTCCGGGGAAACTACCTGCTGGAATTCTCACAGCTTCGCTTTCTGCTGAGGTTCCACGTGGGAGTGCACAGCCTTGCCGAGGTCGACTTGGCTTGACTGTTCTTGTAGCAAGAGCCGAAGGCAGAGCTGCAAGCACAACTGAGTGAGTACGGTATACCACGGGCAGGATGCAACATTCTCTATCATTGCTTTCGTATCGGCCTTGAAGAGCACATGTCGAGACTGCATTCTGACAATTCTGTTTCTGTTCTGGCGC